AAGAGGAGGGTCAAGCCATGACATCATTCCCGGCAGGCGGTTCCCGTGGTGCTTTGTGGCACCAGGAGTCAGGGACAACATTTCCCACACTGCCCCGGGGCAGACGTCGTGTCAGTGTCCTCCTGGGGCCAGCCTGTGCCCCCTTCCTGCCCAGCCCCGCCTGCTCCTCTTCCACCAACAATGGCTTCTGGGCACAGTTGGGATCTTGTTGGGGGGTGGGAATTGGGCCCATGGGCTCGGGGGGGCCCTGTGCCCCACCCCCGGACTACGTTTTGTCAGAACCCATTGACTAAATGCTTCTGGCACAGCGGAAACTCCCAGCACAGCAAAAAGCCCCGCCAAGCCCAACGGCTGCAATCGTTTAAGTTTCAACAAGTCCTGGTGATTGGCTGACCGTGCGCGCCACCCATTGGCCGGTTACAAATTAATCCCACTTGGCAACTAGTAATTGGCTTACTAGCTATATAAAAGTAAAATCAGTTTCCGCCCTCGTTGGAGAACTCCGCACGCGTCTTGGAGTAAACTTGGCGGACTGACCACCCACCAACAACCCCCCGTCACCGACTTTCCTGACGTACCCCGTCCCTGGTACCACGATAAGCCGATTACAGAACGTCTCGTCTCGTCTCGTCTCGTCTCGATACCCCGTCGCGTTCCAGAGAGCGCTCGCTGCGTTTGTAACTGCAACTGTGGTGGGAGAAAACTCCCTGGGGTTCATTGTCTAGCTGCATAGGAACCAGACAACCACGGGTAAAGTATTAACAGCCGTTTATTTGCTCGAGCAAAGACCATAAAGCCGCCAGCAAAAGGCAAAATGGCCCCCCCCAAAGGGTGGGGCGTTCTTTTATACTTTTTCCAACAAGGCAACACTACAGGGTTAACAGAAGCAATATTTGGGCGGTGCTTCACAAATCTTTATAACAGCATATTTCTATTAAGCTGAACTAGCACTTATTAAAAGCTAGAAGTTAAGTAAGAGTAACATTATGATACGTTAGCAAGAACTTGCAGTGGTAGATACTTCTGAAGGACACGATCACTGTACTTGGAACAATGGCTTCTTTGTCTTATCTTGCTTCGTGCTGTAGCTGATTTTCCAGCACACAGACACAGATCCACTTGTTGCGTTTTACTCAGAAAATGCTTAACACAGTTAAAGTGATTACTTGACACAAGCAAAGGCTTAGCTATCATTCTGCCTTGTGGTCAGCGGCATTGCTAGGCCACAGGTCATGCCTTGTATTCAGCTGCAAAGCTAATACTTCTTAATAATCCAAATTAATGTTAACTTAACAGTATGCTTATCAGAAAACTATTCTATTTCAGGGTAATAACAAACATGCTCACCACACAACCAAAGGCAGCGTTCTGCCTGCGCTGCGCGCATCAGCGGCGTAAATAAACAATCTATTTTTACCAATACGCATCCGTGCCTAATTCCGCTCCATTCGCCGAAGTACCCACCTGGCGCTCCGGGCTACCGGCCATAGCCCGGCAAGTCGGCCGGCCACCGCATGGCGTCACGAACAGGATCCGGGGAAGGAGCAATGGAGTCGGGATTAGTTAAAGCCTACCCCCTTCCCAGTGGGGTGCGCGTAACGTCCGATTCGGGTGACCGATGGGGCCGCGTTACATATCGTCAGGCAGGATGGGAAGGGACACCCCCGGACAAGTTTAACTGTCCGACTCTGGACCCCCAGTCGCGCAGCCATGAACTGCTAACCCAGCTCCGTGATAATTTAGAAGCGGAGGGCCGCACCGCAACAAGGTGGACAGGCCCCGAATGGGACAAAGGGAAAATGATTAATGTACTGTTCCGCACAGTTTCACTCCCACTACGCAAAAATGTGAACTTAGAAACCCAGCTAGCCACGGTCAGCAAAGCTGCCGTGGAAATGGCGGGGCGGGACCGCCTGCCGTGGAAATGGCGGCGCGGCACAGCCCCAAGCCACCGCTTGAAAATGGCACCAAGGAAAAGGGGAAGGGCTCAGAAAGCCCGGAAGAGAAGGGGGAAGAGGGCGGCGCCACGAAAGGCTGGGCGGGAACGCAGCCAACGGCCCCGCCCCCTTATTGCGGAGGGGGAACCACCGGGCGGGAACCTGTATCCAACCCTCCCGCCGGGTACGCCGACACCCCCGGCAGCTGCTCAACCCAAAGGCCCAGCCAGCGCGCCGAGCCATCCCACTGAGCGCCCGGTTGAGTACCAAAGGCCGAGACATCACCAACCTGACCCTCGAAGAGCATCGAAACCGCCACCCCAGAGGACGCCAGAGGAGAAAGCCATGTTTGGGTTCCTCCTGAACCACTCCAAACTCACTAAATAACAGCTACGCGTCTTAGGAGATGCAGGACAACGACAGCTGGCGAAGGGGTTGGGCTTCCGATATGTTAAAAAGACAGAACCCGAATAACCGCCGCCGGCCGGGCCAGCAGAAACACCTGTCAACCTGGCCCGGCGGACCCTCGCCTTGTACGAAACTCGTCGTAGAAACTGCTACCAACCCACGCCCTGCAACACTTCCACATGGCGCTACGACCCTACCCCGACTGCAGATCACCTGCAGGGGGCACTAACTGACTTTCTCCGATGCTTTAAACAGCAAAGTGTACCCACGCCAATTACGACAGCAAGTCTACGAAAACCCAAATTTACTGCTCTTGGTTTTCCCTTACAGGTCCGGAACCCAAGACGCACGACGGTCGTAGACCCACACCGAAGGGAAGAGCGACACCGCGAACACTGAGACGCCGACGCGTGACATCGCCATGACACCTGACCACACCGTCATACTCGGACTACTCGTAATTAGCTCAATCCTATTAACTCTCTCAGCAGATGTAGAAACCCGCATGCTTCCAAATGTCTCAATACCCTTAAATAAAAAAATCGAGTCGATGCGAAAAATCGCCGCCAACGTGAACAAAATCTCAGGTATCGGACAAGGGTGGCTATCTGACCTATTCAATTGGTTTGGCTAAGACGCATCCTCACGGTTTTTACACCTCTTAACCCCCCTTATTACCTTGTTAATGCCTCTTTTTAGTATTGGTATTTGTGTATGTGTTAGTTGTTGTTTTATACAATACCTTAAAAACAAACTTATTTCGCTATCTGCTTTTGTATATACCCGCTTGCCATATGAACCCCCCGAACAAGACGACGAAGACGTAATTGGCTTATAAGCATAATAGTTCCGACTGTGCCATTGGCAAGGGGGCATGTCAGAACCCATTGACTAAATGCCTCTGGCACAGTGGAAAATCCCAGCACAGCAAAAAGCCCCGCCAAGTTCAATGGCTGCAATCGTTTAAGTTTCAACAAGTCCTCGTGATTGGCTGACCATGCGCACCACCCATTGGCCGGCTACAAATTAATCCCACTTGGCAACTAGTAATTGGCTTACTAGCTATATAAAAGTAAAAGCAGTTTCCGCCCTCGTTGGAGAACTCCGCACGCATCTCGGAGTAAACTTGGCGGACTGATCACCCACCAACAACTCCCCGTCACCGACTTTCCTGACGTACCCCTTCCCTGGTACCACGATAAGCCGATTACGAACGTCTCGTCTCGTCTCGCCTCGATACCCTCTCGCGTTCCAGAGAGCACTCGCCAGGTTTGTAACGGCAACCAAAGTCAGCGTTCTGCCTACGCTGTGCGCATCAGCGGCGTAAGTAAACCATCTATTTTTACCAGTACGCATCCATGCCTAAATCCGCTCCATTCGCCGAAGTACCCACCTGACGCTCTGGGCTACCGGCCATAGCCCGGCAAGTCGGACGGCCACCACACGTTTCTCATGATGCTTTGCATGCAAGGGTACCGCCCCCCCGTGACGCTTTGCACGCCTGGCTCATGCAGTGCTGTGGGGAGGGGGAGGGGCACTGCCCCGGTGGTGGGAGTGGAGATATGGGGGACCAGGGGCAGGAGAGAGGACAAAAGGGGAGGTGGGGGGGAGCAGGGCATGGTGGGGCTGAGCCTTGGGGTGGCCCTGGGGCGTCACTGCCCTCTCCCCCCAGATCCGCCACAGGCCCTGACCCCCACCCCCATGGTCTGGGAGGGAGAGTGGGGGTTGGGAGTCCAGACACCTGGGTTTGCTCCATATCTGGGAGCCCAGACACTCAGCAGCGATTCCACCTCTCTGGCTCCCCTGTGCTCAGCACCCACCCCCCCCCACCCCCCCACCCCCACCGCCCCCCGAACGATGCCACGGGCTGTGCAGGGTCAAGCACTTTATTGGCGCAAGAAAAGAAGACGGGGCGACAAGTAGGGGGTGCACATGGATGCACGTGCACCCCCTACAAAAAGGCACTGCCGACACTTGGCGGTGCCGGTGGGTGGTCATAGCTCACCACCCCACCGCAGACACCACCGGCAGCGTCTGCAGGCAGTCAGCAATCCCCACTGGCTGCCATCGGCGTCCACGGGGCGTCACTGACCGGTAGTCGGTGCTTGACCCCCCTGGCTGCCAAGAGCATCCGTGGGAGCTCCCCGCTTACCGCTGCCGTGCTCCCACCACTGCCATGCCCCCCCCAGCTGCTGGGGGCACGTGCCATTCATGCTTGCGCCTGGGCCAGGGCTCCCAGTGTTGAACATACAGCCAACACGCAGGTTCAGCAAACCAGGGTTTATTGCATAGTAATGGGCAACTGAGTCCGATTATTTAGCACCACGCCACACCACACACTCGTCGTGCACACCATTCACACTAAGTCACCTATTCGCGGCTCTTGGAGTCATGCTGCGATGTCCAGTCACAGGCTTCTTCAAGGCGATGTCCAGTTGAGAGGGGGCGTCGTCTCTCTCACAACGTGCGGGTAGGTTGGTGTTGGTGGTCAAGGCCCTCAGTAGGCTGACTGTTCACTGCCTTTTTATTTCTTTTTGGGGCAGACTTTGACCAAAGCCTGGAAACTGCTGGAGGCTTTTTCACCAATCACCATCTTCCTTTTTGCCTAGATTTATTTTGGACTCTGTCACCAGTTACATTTCATTTTTCACAATCCAGTCTGTTTTTCAGTCCCAGTTGTACCATCTCCACGTTCCTCAGACCCCTGTATCTTACCTGGTTACTTACTACAGCTGGTTCATACCAGCCTTCGTTCAACCATTACTCCCACCTCAGCCACAGCGCACAGACTTACGCAGGCTCACTCCCTGCTTTTTCAGAAAACGGTTGACACAGTTAAGATGGTTATTTAGCATAAGTGAACGGCTTGCTTAGCATAAGCATTCATAAGCAAAATCATAGCGTGAGTATAACATGTTTTGAACAATAATGGCATATTCCAAAACATGTTTCAACACCAGCTACTAGAAATGCCTCCAGCAGATGTAGCCCATGGTGGCAGCAGTGGCCACTACCACAAAGAACAAGGGCAGCGAGAACAAACTCAGCGAGGGGACAGCCACACCAGTCACCGTATCCAGCACCTACGGGACAGGGAGGAGCTGGCTACTGGAGCTGGTGGCAATCAGGACCCTCCCCACACTGCCCGAGCCCCCCAGGCTGGCATCGGGGCCTTGCAGAGGCACCTCCTGCAGCTGCAGGCCAGCACCGCCCGCAGCCCCACGCACGCTCACCCCTGGGCTGGCGCACAGCTCGTGGCTGATGCTCTGGCCATAGCGCAGCTCGGTGACAAAGTGCTCGCAGTTCTGGAGGAAAACATTGTACCATATCTTCCTGCCAGCCTCTGCCTCTGCCTCGGCCAGAATCTCCTCCACCGCCTGCAGGGTGCGTTTGCTGTCGTACTTGTTCACGCGGTACTTGTAACCCCCAAGGATGTAACAGAGACGCTCCTTCTTCACCACGGCCCAGGAGGGTGCTAGGCCACCAGTTCCTCAACTCTTCCTGCGGACCTTTCCTG